TCCGCTTTGAAGTCGTCACTCAAGACATAAAATTTTATCCGATCGAAAGTACGACAATATAAATTCAATGATGCCGGTAAAGCTTGCGTTGTTGATTTTAAAATTCATTCGCAACTGCTACTGACATTTTCTCGTTAATCACAAGCAAAGTCAAGTAAGAATCTCATGACGATATCTCGATGCGATATACATTTCTTGTGTTGTGCAATCGTTTTGGTATGCGGGACGCGATAAAGGAAAGGCGCGTAATTTCTGGCGTATTCTTACCTCGCGATAAGAATTTCAATCTCCTTCAAGGTAATCTTTTTCTTTCTTTTCTCACGTTACCATGGGTTTCATTTAAAAAGATGAGTTATTTCTTCGAAAAAGGGTTCTTTCTCGACAAGTCCGGACTGATAACATGCATTGGATGATTGTTTTGTATTGAAACATAAAATAGGATAAAGCTTTTCCATTCCAAACTTAATTTTCAAGAAAGTTTAATTTAAAAATCCGTTCAATTCAAATTTCATTTATGGTTGTATAAGCTGTATGACGGTATCATATACTTGGTGCATTTTAAACATAAGAGGAAAAAATGAAAATACTATCATGAAAATTTCGATAAGTGCACTAAAAACTTACAAGATAACAGTATAACTTACGGACGTGATTTCGATAAAATGAATGTCGTGAATGTTGGTATCTTTTTGGTGAAAGACCAGTAGAGGCTATATTGCGAATTTTTACGAGAAGATAAAGGAACGTAAGGTGTAGGAAAAAACACGTTAAACATTTCTATTGATGTTTTTTTTTTTCTTTCTACTCCTGACGACGCATCGCGGTCATGACATTGTTCAGAAGAAAAAATAATGATTTATAATAATGCAGGATAAAAAAATGTATCGGCCATTTATAAAACGAGAAGTATTTATATTAATGTCGCCAAAATTCACAAGACCTACGTAGTTCGGTCAAAGTATTCGTGTTATTTTTACAAACCTCCCTTCCATGATATTCTACCACGTCGTACCAGTATGATTTTATCGTAGCTCGCGTGCAAAAAGAAATGAAAAAGTTTGTCTAAATTATAGCTACGACCGGATTTAATTTGTTTAGTTTTTTCTTTAAGTTGTATTTTTTTACTTCAGTTGTCTCTCTAAAGGAAAAAGACGAAGACGCGAGTTTTTTCAATAATAATTTATACAAATGATTTCTTTTTTATTTAAGTCATAAATGAAAATATTAAGATCAATTTATTTAACATTTGCACCAGTACAAAGTATCAAAGAACATAGTACGAGAACGTCAATATCGATTATACCGATCTTGTCGAGCGTCCTCGTGTTCGCGCGTCATCAGTGAACATACGCAAATCGCGTGCATATATCGCGACTTTGCGTGTCTGAGCTCGTAAGAAGAAAAGAGAAGAAAAAATGAGCTGAACAAAAGGGAATAGAGTAAACAAAGATACACGGATAAGTAATATAGTCATCGATTTTTTTCAAATATTTAGAAAATATAAGAACGAAGTAAAATAATGAAAGAGAGTAAGAGAAGAGGGATGAAGAAAGAACGAAAACATTCCATTTAGCAAATATTTCTATAAAATATTCAAATAATGTTGAACAGAATTACGATATTCCTATTATTTTGTATTTCATATAAAAAGAAATATATATATAAGTAGAAGTAACAAATGTATGCTTTAAAATCGTATTTGAGAACTTTGTTCATTAAAGCTATGTAAGTAAAGAAAACAGCGTTAGGAAAGTGAAAGACTATTCAAATAAAATAACTATTAACGATCGTTTTGTCGAAGTAAGGAACTGAAAGTTAACTTTGAGAACTCGCGCTCGAAGTAGGTACGGAAGATAAGGAAGATGGCTTTGGAAGAGAGGCTGCAAGAAGGCTGCAACGAGCCTTGAGTTCGCCCGTGCGTGCATTCCTGTCCGGTTTTCTTTCCCCTTGCTTCACTCACCTCTCTTTCTCTCTTTTTCTCTCTCAACTCCACCGTCGCCACCAC